GCGGCGGAGGCGGTAACGGAGGTTCTTTATTGCAAAAGTACAAAGTGTTTGGCGGTTGGCGGTACCGAGTGCCGCTGCCCAGGCCCAGCCCGGGCGGAGCCCCGCCACAGCCGCCGGGCTCTCGGGGCTGCTCCCCGCCCTGCYCGCCTCAGCCCAGCGCGGTGCCCCCGAACAGCTGCACCAGGTCCTCGTACTCGGGGTCGATGAGGTCCGAGGGTTTCTCCCCGTCGTCTGTGGTGGCCTCCAGGCTGGCCCCGAGGGACAGGAGGTACCTGCAGGACGCGGATCTGAGCCCCGGGCCGGGCCGGTCCCGCAGCCCCGGAGCAGCGCGGGCACCGGGCACCCCCCGGGACCGCACGGACCCTGCTCAGCCCGCTGCTGGCAGCTCTCGGGGTCCCACAGCTCCTTACCGGGCTATGTCAGCGTAGCCATCGCTGCAGGCCATGTGCAGCGGCGTCCAGCCCTTCTCGTCTCTCTGGTGAATGTCAGCGCCGTGTTTCACCAGCAGCTTGACGCAGTCCAGGTTCCCCGTCAGCACAGCTTCGTGCAGGGCTGCCATGCCTGAAGGGACAGCAGCTGTTAGCCCTGGCAGGGGGAAGGGTCCCCATGCTGAGCTCAAACGTTGTCACAGCTCAGGAATGGGCTGCAGGAGCTCTCCTCTCAGGGAGAGGACTGTAGGGAAAGAAAGAYTGAGGCAGCCAGAGGAGCTGCCGTGGGTTCCTGCTGCCCTTCTGCAGCATAAATACCACGTCTGGGATGGTGCAGCACCCATCGCTCTGGCCAGGCAGGACTGAGGGAGGAGGAGGAGGAGCTGCCCCTTCGAGCCCTGGCCAGGACTCACACGGACACACCAGAAAAGAGAAAAGTCTCTGGCATCATGTGCTGCCTGAGTTTCGGAAGCTCCTCACTGATGAAGAATCAGTATGGACAGAAGGAAGCCCAGCGCCATCTGAGCCTCTCTGTCCGTGGCCACGTGAATGCAGAAGCTGAACCAAGTGTAAGAAAAGGACAGATCTGCATAAACCTGTACAGATCAAGGTGTTCCATAAACTGTTGCTGGTGAGGCTGTGCAAACAGAACACAAAACTTTCCCCATGAGTCTCCAGAATCAGACAWACAAGAGGGAGCAGTGCCTGTGAGAAACAGGCAGAGCCAGGAACAAATCCCCCACTCTGGGGAAAGGCAGAGTCCCAGGGTCATGCCCAGAGCTCACAGAGCAGCCCGTGCCTGCCGTTGTCCTTTCAGGTCCCAGCACTGCAGGTGCTCCATTGCAGGACCAGAGCCAAGCTCCTGCTTCCCTCAGCGTGTGTTTACTGTGCTGTTGAGGGAAGATGTTGTGGCCCTGGCCTGGAGCTCTTGGACCCTGCTGGGCACTTGCTCATGCCAGGGAGGGACCTGTCCTGCTTGAGCCCCGCTGAAGGTGGCCCCAGAGCCGCTGGTGTCCCTCACAGCCCCACTGAGTGCCACTGCTGTGCCCCAGCTCTGCCCATCAGCAGCACTCACCAGAAGGGTAGATGGTGTCCAGTGTCACCTTCCTGGCTCGTATGAACCTGCCCACCTGCTCCAGGTCCCCCTGCTTGATGTGGTCCTGAAAGACGACGTCGTTGGGGAAGTGCACGGCGCGCGGGGCCCTGAGAGGCGGCGGGCACGGTCTGCACCGGGGCACCGACACCAGGCAATAGTCCCTCATGCTGCCAGGAGCCTTCAGGCACAGCGGCATCGGGTGCTCAGCACTCAGCCTGGCCACACGCTGCTCTGCTCTGCTCTGCTCTTCTGCCTGTCAGGGCCTCCTCACTCCAGAGCTGCGCTGCCCCGCACTGCTGCCACACTGCTGCCACACTGCTGCCACACTGCTGTCACACTGCTGTCACACTGCTGTCACACTGCTGCCACACTGCTGCCACACTGCTGCCTCTGTCCGTGTCCCTTAGTGCCTCTGTCCGTGTCCCCTTGCTGCCTCTGTCCGTGTCCCCTGCTGCCTCTGTCCGTGTCCCCTGCTGCCTCTGTCCGTGTCCCTTTGCTGCCTCTGTCCGTGTCCCTTAGTGCCTCTGTCCGTGTCCCTTAGTGCCTCTGTCCGTGTCCCTTTGCTGCCTCTGTCCGTGTCCCTTAGTGCCTCTGTCCGTGTCCCCTGCTGCCTCTGTCCGTGTCCCTTAGTGCCTCTGTCCGTGTCCCCTGCTGCCTCTGTCCGTGTCCCTTTGCTGCCTCTGTCCGTGTCCCTTTGCTGCACAGAAGTGGCAGCCACTGCGCTCTCCTGTACTCCCGAGTCACATGCAGGAGGTGGCACGTGGCACTTGCCGCTCACCTGCCGGCCCTTGGCCCAGGACTGATGGTTCTGTGGCAGCACCACRTTATAAAGACTTCCCTGGGCTATTTTGGGGACATGCAGCTCATGCTATTTGCCATGATGCTTCGTAATTGAGCCGCCCAGGCCTGCAGCCTCCCACTTTTGGGCAGAAGTTGATGTCTCATCTTACCACCCACCTGTTGATGCACCCATCCAAGGGGTCAAATCCACTCTTGCGTAGCCCTTCCTGGGAGCCTGGAGGCAACTTCCCARCACGGAGCCCTTCTGGGCCAAGGGGCACGGGGCAATCACCGAGGCAGGGAACTGCTGCTGTGTCCCAGGTAGCTGCTGCAGTGTGCATGTGCCAGGGCTGGGGACACAAACACATCCAGAGCTGTCACCTTTCTGTCACCCCCAGCTGCAGGGCACAACTGGAGAGGGAGAGGAGCTGTACAGCCCAGCATGGATGCACAATGTGCCTGTTGGGTGTCCCCTGTGTCCCTGTAGGGACAGAGGTGCTGCTGGTGATCCTGAGACAGGTGCAGAATCAGCACTGCTGGTCCCTGGTGTTCCTTGCCCTACTTCAGACTGGAAAGCAGCTGCTGCTGAGGGCAGGAACAGCGGGAGAACAGCACCACCAGCAGACAGTTCCTGCCTCTGATATTCTCCAGCTGCACTACCATGGCCCAAAACAGAACCATCTCCCAMAGAGGAACCATTCAGGTCCATCAAGGGTTTAAGCAACCACTGCTTTTTTCCATCATTTGGGCATGTCAGCGTTTTGTGCTCTGTCATGCTGATGGGGATTGTTCAGGCAGATATGTCAGAAATAATCTCTGTGCAGCTTTAGGAGTCAGGGATTCCACTCTGCCCCTTCTGCTGCAGGCCCTTGCCCTGACCCCGCAGCACAGAGCCACACCTGACAACTCCTGCACTTGTTTATCTGCTGSCAAACGCATCGATCTCTTGGCCGAGCATTTGTTCATGGTTACATCAGCTGGAACATGGTGCTGGGGACAAAACCCTTCCAGCTTTCTTGGAACAGCAATTAGGCATGTACATGAGATGGCTGCCACAGGAGAGGCCCCTCCTCAAAGCTGACTACAGGGCATCTCAGCCCAGGAACASAAGAAAACCACTGCAGAGCTCAAGTCCGACTAGCTTTACAAAATGGACCTATTTGAGTCAAATTGTAGACACTACCTTCTAGCAGAACTTTACTAGTGAGTAAAGTACTCGTGGGGGTACTCCCCACCCGCCCTGACAAAGCAGCTGTCATCAACCAGCCCGGGCTACCAGCACTACCTGTGTTTTTGGGGTGCAGAAATGACCCTTGCCCACCCTGGGTCCAGTGGGGGACAGAGGTGTATTCAGAGATTCTCCTCCCTGTAATTGCAGGTACAGGTGTCACCCATACCGAGCTGCTGTTCTGTCAGGGACAGCCCTTCCTGAACCCTCAGCTGGTGTTTGCCTGCTCAGCCCCAGCCTGCTGCTGCTGTGGCCAAAGGTTGGGGACACAACCCTGGGACTGTGTCCCAGGGAGCCACAGGAGAAGGTTGGAGCTGGAGATAGAGACAAGTGTTGTCCAACAGCCCTGTGCCRCTGCTCCAGCACATCCCTGATCACTGAGAGGCACCTACAATTGTCCTCTAGCCTCACCCTGCCTTCCCTGTGACATTTATAGCTCATTTTCTAACCAAAATACCTTCAGCAACAAGCAGCAGGTTTGGAAATAGCAGCGTGGCTCAGGGGGTCATGTGAGCCTGACCAGCAGAGCCCCAGCAGCCCAGCCAGCTGGCCCAGGGGCTGTGCACCCAGAGCCAAAGCMCAGCCTGCTCACTGCTCASAGTGCTGCACAACCCCATGGATCTGGACAGCACACGAGCATTGTAAAGCTCTTTTCCTTTATTAATTATGTGGAGAAGGTGRCATGCCCCACTGCAGCAGAGTCCTTGAGAATCACCCAACAACCCTGCTCCCACATTCCAGAGTCCATTCAAATATTCTACACACTGATAAAGACAAAGAGCCAGAATAGTATTAAAATCTCAACTTTATTTGGCCATCAAATTCAGTACCAATGTTATTGTAGCAGAATGCTAAGAACCAGCCTGATGTATCTCAGGCGTGTGAGGCACTCCCTCAGTCACATTCCCAAACCCCAGTAATTGCAAATGTCCTGTTTGATCTGTTCATCAGGCCCTCCCCCACCACCCACCTGCCAGGTCAACCCACTCAATACAATTCATGGAAAGGGATTGCAAGTCTTGTCTTTGATCAGAAGGATGGCAGCACAGCTGGAGAGCCAGCAGCCACCTCCACCYCAGAGCCTGCCACAGCCAGTGCACACAGGATTCCACTCCTCCAGGTATTTGGAATAGTCACCTCCAAGTGTCTTAAAGCAGAGGGGAAAGGAAACAACTGGCTAGCATCAAGAGAAGCACCTTTACATACACCCTTGCCCAGGAACAACAGCCCTCGGCTCCTACATCTACTGAAGGCCAGCCCCAGGGAAGAACWGCTGAGACCATGAAAGACTCTGTGAGGTGCAGAAATCAATTATGGGCTTTAGTTGTAAAAGAAAAAGAGAAAAAAGCTGTCTTGTAAGATGTTAGTGGCAAGGCTCCAGATTGTCAGGGYACTGAACTCCTGGTACCACCTCACAACCTCCTGCTGCCCAGAAGAACAGAATACCCCAGAAAAAAAGCTGTGTACAAAAAAGTACATCACAATAGAGAAAGGAGCCCAGCTGGCTGGGCTGGCTCCCTACTGACAGGTTCCTTCTCAACAGCCAAAAGAAAGAAAAGGTAAGTGTAGAGACAAGTGAGGGTAAAGCGTTACTTTAGAAGCCAATCCCTGGATTTCCAGTCATTCACCTTCTGCTTTAAATCTTAATGGGTTTCTGACTCACTGGGCTGCATCACAGCAGCCAATTTAGTGTCTGATTTTTTGGGTGATGCAGATCAGTCTTCTCTTATAATTCATCCTTTTGAAGTTTCTGCTCATCCTCATCACCTTCCTCAAGATCTGTTTCTTCATCYGTCTCCAGGTCCTCCAGATCCTGTGGAGGTTACAGACAGCTCTTGGTTTCTGGCACATGAGGCAGATCCATAACCAAGCACTGAGCAGGAGCCCTCATCTGGTCACTYCTCTCTGCTGCTGTGCTAATAAAACACCCAGAGCCTTCCACCAAGAGCTTCACATTCAGGACATTCAGATTAGGAGCCCCTGGAAGTTGGTACCTGCACCTGTAGTATCCTCCACACAGCCCCMCCTCTGCCCACCAGCAGGTGAGAGCTTCCCTCTAGACACAGATTTGTGGCACTGATCACACACAGCCCAGTTCCAGGTGCTGAGGAGAAGTTCCCTGGGGAACAGTGCCCAAACACAGCACTGCTGCTTCACACCCACCAGGGTATGTCCAGCAAGGAGCCCACTGCAGGCCCACAGCCAGCCAGGCTGCATCTCAACAGATCACACCAAGATGCACTTTGTTCACCAGCAATATCCTCTGATACATAACTCTGATCTTATTTAGGACTGAGGATTCAGGCACAGAAGCAGATCTGCCCCCTGTCCCCAGAGCATGTGTCTCCATTCACATTACTCACATCATCAGCTGCTGCTCCATCCTGACCTCCGCTCTCCAGGAATTTTTTGAAGCCCTCTAATGTCCTCTCCCCATTATAATCAATTACCTATGGAGGGAAGAGATAAGAATGCTGGTTATAGGCACTACAGACCCACAGGCCTGGAGAGGAGAATTCTCTTTCTGAGCAAMAGTGAACATGCCAAGCAAAAGGGAGTTTAAAAATTCACCTTCACCCATATGAGACGAAGGAAAACAGCTCAGCCACTAGACTTCAGAGATCACTGCGAGGAAAGAATAGCCTGCAGATGAGCACAGTGYCCTCTATGCTCCCTCTTTTCCCCATTCCCACTTCCCACTCGCCCCAAATTCTTTCCTACAGCCCAGCTCCCCACACAGGGTCTTGGGTGTCCTGCAGACTTGTGTTCCATCCCAACTTGTTGTGTTCCATCCCAGTGCAGATCCCTCCCAAAGGCCTTGTCCAGAACAACTCTGTCCAGAGCAGGCAGCTGAGCTTTCCCAGGCCCCTGGCTACGTGAAGTGCAAGCCCAGCTGCCTCCTTACATTTCTGCCAGAGCCTGCAGGGAAGAACTTGAGTGTGGGGAAGCTGTGGATTTTCACTGCCTCCACTTCATTAGCCGTTGAGTCCATCTTGGCAATGACAATGTTCTCGTGGTCCCTGTAGGTTTCTCCCAGCTTGTCCCAGATTGGAGCCAGCTGCTTGCAGTGACCACACCATGGGGCATCTGTTAATGACAGAGACAGAGCTGCACCAACAACCTAACAAGGTCCTACTCCTCCCTGACCAGACAGCTCTCACATCTTTGCAACCAAGGCACTGCCTTTG